ATTGTTACAGAGGTAAAATCCTATCTTTGTTAAACTTGACAATGTTATTGTAAATTACAATAATAAACTTTTTAATGATTCAATAGAGGTGTGTAAACAAATTCACCCCAAATACCAGGTTGAGCTGCAGATGGTAAAAACTATTCAATATGCACCAAGCAAGTATAATGGATACCTGTTCCTGGTAAATATATTGACAAATAAAGTGATGTACTCCTATTGGTTAATACTGTTAACTAATATATACAATAAAATATAGCGATTAAAATATACAGAATATAATACTTGAAATGCATTCAAGACAAAAGCAAAATAGAGAATACAATGACATCGCTGCCAAGTCATGTACCAACTCCGAGTTTCTTATTACATGAAACAAAAATACTCATTTAATTATGACATAAACTTAGATGCAATTATATTTGTATAGCAGGTGTTTATAATGATTAATTTAATCAACAATGTTTTGGCACATAATAATATTATAGTCCTTGGCAGCAAGATAAAAATACAAACCTCAGACCTTTTGATTTATGATTTTATTGTTAGCTGTATTGGTCTGTTCAATTAAATTGGTCTTTTATATTTATAGGCATGAGCTGCTTTGAAATCTTCCAGTACACCCAGGTCAACTACCACAACAATAAAGTTTGATTCAGATGAATAGATACTATATTATAATTATAGATGAAAAAAAAATGAAATTTATAATGTTGTATAAAAAATGTCTAATTTATTTTGTAATTTATATTGTTCTATCAAAAAATGCATAATATTTGTTTCTGTAATTTGTAATGTTGTATCCAAAAATCTCTAAAATTTGTTTTTGTAATGTTGTATCAGTGACATTGATTAAATTATATTACTTCTAACGTATTTTCACAAATGAATAAATTAAAAGTGTTGTGGGTGGGACTAAAAGATATAAACAAGGTACTAAGAAGATGTAAAAATCAATGGAAAAGGTAGTTACAATGTAGTAGAATGGTAATAGGATTGTACCATGTTGGTATTTTAACATACCAAGTTAGTTGTATGTTGGTAGTTACAATGTAGTAGAATGGTAATAGGATTGTACCATGTTGGTATTTTAACATACCAAGTTAGTTGTATATTGGTAGTTACAATATAGTAGAATGGTAATAGGAATGTACCATGTTGGTGTTTTAACATACCTAGTTGGTTGTATACAGGTACATAATATTACAAAGCAGTAACAATGTTTCTGGTAGTCCAGACTCTTATGTAAATTAACTACATAAACTCTACCAAACCACATTATAAACACATATTTATTAGGTAAATGTGTTTGCTGCGATATATATTGTTCAATATGGACCAACAAAGGATTGATGAAATCCTCGTACATCCAGTTAGTTCAAAAATACATTTATTCATACAACAGTGAAATATGTAACAGATCCCTTCTGTTCATTGTCAGATACAAATATGTTTATCACTGAGTGCCAACAAAGCATTTATGGCTTTGTCCTGTCTTCTGCTCAGAGATTTATGGAAGGTCCCTCTAGAAAAGCTTAAGTCAAGATAGGAGAGAGGCGACTTTAAACCTCTTTCCAGCTCGCATGACATCAAAGCATAATGTAAACATTTGTGGATTACGATTTGTCTTAAGCATAAAATATATACTAAAATAGTTTTTTAAACTGTTTTAGAAATTAGTTTGACCTGATGTAAAATTTTGGTGCACATTTTCCCACAAAACAAGAGAATGGTTACAAGTTTTCTTGCATAACTGAAGCAGTCATCCTTTCTCATTTGAACCCAGTTCATGCTTGAATACAGATCTACAGAAATCAGTCCCAAGAAGTAGAAAGTTGTGCAACTGTATTCTGACTTGACAGAAATGATTGTGTCAGTGTCTACATATGTACAAACACATTTCTGTTTACTTTCCTTTGTAAATAAAGACTATGTTCAATTTCTCCATTAAATGTGTTCTGTCTCCTTAAATTCTAATGTAGGTTTAAAACTTAAATTTTCAAATACAAGTACTCTATAAATTTTCTGTTCAAAGCTGCCGTTATTAAGTGGAGTTATCTAATACTCACAAGGAAATTAATTCACATTATAAAACTACACCCTCTTGTATTACAGAAATATGCTCAATATCTGTATTAACAAACACCTGAGTGATAAACTGAAAAGTCAGGAGAAGTGTTGTGAAAAAAATGGGTCAGTTTATAATTCCTGTCCCTTGGAAACATAAGCCAAACTTGGGAAAATACCAGGCTTATTTAACAGATGAATAAGGGCAATTTTCCACTACATTAGTACTGACTTGAATTAGAAATAACAATGAGGGAACCAAAAGTGACTCAACATTCATGAACCAAATTTGTAGAACAATCATAACCAAAGAAACATACACAATTCATTAGTACATCCATAGTTAGTACAAATATGTTGATTAACGAATGTCAACAAAGCAACAATGAGATCCTTATACACTCGTATTCAATCCATATATATTGTTCAATCAGGACCAACAAAGCATTGATGAAATCATTGTACATCCAATTAGCTTTAAATACATTTATTGGTAATTAATACTTGATACAACACTGAAATATGTAACAGATCTCTTCTAAATTCATTGTCAGATACAAATATGTTTATCACTGAGTGCCAACATAGCACTGATGGCTTCCATAGTCAATAACCAATAAGGTCTCAATTAGAGAAGAAACTGTCAACTGATAAGCCACATGGAAGGTGGGTATGTGGAGAATTGTTGGTAAGTATGATGGAAGTACTCAAGTTTAACATTAATTACAGGTGATGGTATAGAATAAGATTACAAAAATGTTAGTGGATTCAGGTTTCTGACATCAAAGCCCAAAATAACCAATTTTACTTTCTGTTCTGATACAGATACTTGAACAGTTAAAAATCATAATAAGAAATTTTCAATTAATGATGGAAAATTCAAGAACACTGCTAAATTAAAACAGGTAAAATTTATACTATTAATGTTAGGAAGAAAGCAAAATATTAATATTCTAAATATACAGACTTACTATTGGTTATCCTAAAGGTTTCATTTTCCATCAACTTGATATTGATTAAAGCATCCTGCTTCTCATCAGAAAAGGGTTCAACCTTTATCTTCAATACCTCCATGATTACATAGAAGCTTCACCTAAGAAATAAAACTTGCATCCTTCATAAATCTGAAAAAATTCAATAAATTCTATTCTAAATATTCACATTATCTTGCTAACTTTCATATGAAACTATAAGCTTTATCTTTTTCACATATTTATATTAAAAGTAACATTATATGACATAAAGTGACTTTAATACAATATGATTAGTAAAATACTGTAAAAACCTTTACCAACAGTTTGATGCAGTTTAAACATGTATTGATTTAAGTAGGGATTAGGTTTTTACTCTATACTAGATACACCTCATATATAAAAATACATTAAAATGTAAAACTAGGACTACTGAAATACCTTTGAACCATTCGGGAATTTAATTATTGATAGTTTCAGTTTTTTCATAATTCCTAATGGATTTTCAACATGCTCACATAATTTCAATAATATAAAAATGATTTTAAATTTAATATTTGTATTTACATGAACATTTATGATGACTTTTCTTCCCATATATTAAGATAATTTTTTTTTTTCAAATGTAATACCAGTACTAGCAGTGAAGGTAGTTTTTGAACTAACTTTGTGACAAATTGCTTGAAATCACGTCGAGCTGTCATTGTCAAAGATTAACACCAAAGCTGTTTGTACGTTGCAGGACTAATTATCTCTACAAGTACTGTTGCACTACTAGGATTAATTAACAAATTTAAATTAATAACTCGCATGCTGCCAGTTTCAGAAAATGAAACCGAGTGAATGATAAAATTCGTGCGTTATTTATGTGTTAAATTTAAACTTTAAAACAAGTACACGAACAAATTATTTTTACTAAATGAAATATACAATAATAAATTGCTATAATAACGAAAAATAGCATTAGTATTACCTAAAATATTTTGCTTGACACTCGTAAATTAACAGTACAATATAGTTAAAACTAGTAAAACAATAATTTAAATGACTGTCTCGCTAATACCATACGCATGCGCATACTGCTTTAGGATTTATGTAACAATGGCAATATAGCGGCACCAGTTTTTAGGCTTTTGTGATGTAAAAAGTTGTGGTATAACTTATTGTTACGCCTCCAGTCGTTAGTTAATTTTCCGTAAATTCGTTCCGACGAAACTTTAGCGACACAAGTCCTTTCTTAAATAAAACTGGTTTATTCTTTCCGAATACAACTTAACGATACACTTACTTTCAACAGTCGCTCTGTAACAAACGCTATGTTACGTCTCCGTTTGTTAATTGATTTTTCCGTAACTTCGTTCCGACGAAATTTTAACGACACAAGTCTTTACTTAATAAAACTGGTATCCCCCCCCCCAGTGATACAGTGGTATGTCTGCGGACCCACAACGCTAGAATCCGGGTTTCGATACCCGTGGTGGGTAGAGCACAAATAACCCATTGTGTAGCTTTGTGCTTAACTTCAAACAAACCAATCGGGGAAAAAAAAAAAAACTAGTTT